CGAAAATAGGCCTCTGCAAGCGCACCTACCAGAAGCGGTGCATCATTTTCTTCCCCTCCAAGTCCCTGACGCACCGGATGAAGATCCTCTTCGGGCTGATGGGCCTCAAGGCGGCCGAGCTGCACGGCAACCTGACGCAGCTGCAGCGTCTCGAGGCGCTGGAGCACTTCCGCGACGAGCAGGTGGACTTCCTCCTGGCCACCGACGTGGCCTCCCGTGGTTTGGACATTTCCGGCATCCAGACCGTCATCAACTACTCGATGCCGGCCTGCTTCAAGACCTACCTCCATCGTGTCGGCCGTACCGCGCGTGCCGGGCAGAATGGCTGCTCCGTCACCCTGGTGGCGGATGCCGAGCGGAAGAACCTGCGCAAGGCCATTCGCCATGCGGCGGACGCCGTGCGCCGGCGCAACGTCCCCCCGGAGATGGTGGCCAAGTATGGCGCCCTGCTGGCCGAGCATGAGGACCGGGTGAAGGCCATCCTCGAGGAGGAGAAGCAGGAGAAGCTCCTGGCCACGGCCGAGATGGAGCTCACCCGCGGTGACAACCTCCTCAAGCACCGCGACGAGATCCTCTCCCGCCCGGCCAAGACCTGGTTCCAGTCCAAGAGCGAGAAGGCCGCCGCCAAGCGCACCGACGCCGAGGCCGCCCAGCAGAAGGTCGCCACCAAGCCCCGCTCCAAGACCGACGGCCTGTCGCGCGCGAAGAAGCGCAAGATCATGTACACCCAGCCGGCCACCAAGGACGAGGTGGCCGCCGCCCGTGCCGCCGCCCGGTCCTTCAAGGTGCGTGCTTCTCTCTCTCTCTCTCTCTCTCTCTCTTGCGGCTGCCGGGGGAGTACCCTGCCCATGCCTTTCTCAGGTGGTGCTCCCCTGCTCCCTGGTGTTACTGACCCTGTTTGTGGCCATTTCTCCCCGCCCCCCCCCCCTCCCCTCTCCCCTGGTGCTCGCACACCGGGGCCGCCTCCAGAAGCAGAAGCGCCCGCAGAAGCTGCTCAAGCTCTCCGACGATTCCGGCTCTCGCCGGCCGGCCGCCGGCTCCAAGAAGAAGGGCTCTCGGGGCAAGGCGGACTTCAGCCAGGACCTGGCTGACGCCCGGAAGACGTACGCACGCCGTTGCCTCACCCCGCACCGGGGCGGGGACCTTCACATGACGGGGGGTCACCCTGGTCGCACTCTTTTTCGCACCCTTCCTGACACCGCCTCTCTCCGTCCCCCCCC